AGAGCTCTGTCCAGCTTCAGCTGCTTGAAGGTGTCTAGGTACATCACGTTGACGGAGCTCCCCGTATCGATGTAAGTACGGTGGATGATGGAGTCCCCGATCTCACATCGGATGACGAGGGCGTCCCTGTGTGATTCCGTACCCGGAGGCAGATCCTTGTCGGTGAAGGTGATCGCCTCCGTTCGCTGCTTCTTCGGCTGGGGGGGAACGTGGGACACCTCCCTAATGTAAAGGGATTGGGCCCACTTCTTTCTCTGAGTGGCGGAGTCCCCCCCCAGTGTTTCCACCCACTATGAGGTGGATGTGATTCTTCTTCGGCGGAGGCTCCTCGAAGTCCTCGTCGTCGCTGAGTCTACCAATCTCCCGCTTCTTCGCAGAGGGTTCGCCCCCATGTTTGCCGGTGTTTACCCAAGTGTTCTTGCGCGGGCCACCTTTGACAAACTGGGAGAGTTCCCCCTGGCGAATAAGGCGCTCGATGGCCTTCTTCAATGTGATGCAATCGTCGGTGTCGTGCGACGAGTTCTTGTGGAACCGACAGTATGTGCCGCCCTGTTGGATGGCAAGGATCTCCTCGGCCGGCCGAGGAGCCTGCTCGATGAGGCCGTGCTTCTCGGCATAATCGAGGATGGTGCCGACCGGGTGGGTGAGGGTTACCCCCGGCCGTTCCAGCCTCGGCCGCCAGTGGCGGTCTTTCTTACTTTCTCCACCAGAGCCGTGGCGGCCCTGGGCACCCTGGCCGGCCGGGGACGGACCCGAGGCCGGCGAAGGATTTTTCTTCTTGGGGGGATGGCCCCCCTCTCTCTTGTGATTGTGGAGCTCGTCGGCGTCGGCATACAAGCCTCCGCGTTGGAGCGCCTTGGCGTACGACCTCGGGGGGTCAGTGATGAGGCTCCTGGCGTACGGGAAGCTGCGGAGGGCTCCCTGGTACAAGGCGAGGAGGGTGCGCTCATCGGCCCCCTCGACCTCCTCGGTCTCCCTCGTCCACCGGTCGATGAATGACCGGAGGGACTCCTCGTGCTGCTGTTTGACGGAGAGGAGGTGGGTGAAATACTTCTTGGCGCGCTTCCTTCCGGCAAAGTGAGTGAGGAAGCGCTGAGCAAGATCTTGCCACGAGTCAATGCTTCCCTCTGGCAGTCCGTTGAACCACTCGTACGCTGGCCCCTCGAGAGTAGAGAGGAACCAACGGCAGACGTATTCATCGGACGCGTTCACCATCAGCATGTTGTTTTGATAACGGCTGAAGTGCTCCTGGGGGTCTGATCGGCCATCGTAGGACTTGATGGCGTTCCCCCTGTACTTCTCAGGGATGGGGGCCGAGAGGACCCTGTTGGTGAAAGGGGTCCTAGTCCTGACCTGGATGATGGGGTCACCCCGCCCTTCGGCCAGCTCCCTCTCCAGGGCGCTGACTTTGTTCATGAGCGCGTTGAGGCCGGGGTCGTTGGAGGCGCCGGCCGTAGGGATGTTGGCCGACTGCTTGGCCTCCATCTGAGCCAGCCTCCTTTCCAGCTGGGCGATGACCTCGTCCCGGGGGTCCCTGTCGGCCGCGGCGGCACTCGGCCGGTTCCTCAGGCGTTCGTTGTGAGCCGCGTTGATCTGGTGACGCACGTCATCCTCGTGCAACTTCCCCTTGCCCTTGTCCGGGCGGGGCTGGTCCGCTGTCCGGGACACAGACCCCAAACTCTCCCTTGGCGAGCCAGGACGAGGATCACCAATCCGTCCCGCCATCCTCTCCGAAACCGGACGACGGCGCGTGTCACCCAGCCTATTGAAGGCAGAGGCTTTTCCACGCGCTGGGGTCTGCCCGGGCCGAAGAGGGGAAGCAGGGTGGGAGTGGGACGACGCCGTGTCCTGGGCCACAACCCCCTCATTGTTGCCTATCTGGTCGGCCAGTGGTTGGGGATGAGGAGGTGGAGTGACGTTTCCCCCGGTCCTCGGCAAGAGTGCGCTGAGGACGGTGGGGTTCTGAGCTAGGCTGGCGATGATGACCGACAGCGCGGCCTGGACCTGAGGATCTACGGACGGAGAGGCTGCGGCCATAGGCTGGGCCGGGGCGTGGTCCGCTTTCTCAGCTCGTTTCTTTTCCAGGCCGAGGCGGGCGTCGGGGACTCCGCCGTTGAGTTGGTTGCGGAGGTCCGCCGTGAGGTTGAAGGCCTCCTGGAAGAGGTCCCCTCCGCCGACCTGGTCGGCCGTGGCGTCCTCATCGTGCTCCCTGGGCTCTTGGTCCTCAGGGATGACTTTGCTGACGAGGTTGCGGTTTGACTTAGTTCTCCCCATGATCAGTGGTTAGCTGTGCTTGGTAGCGACGAAGGGTGCTAACTTGATTGTTCTAGCTCTCAACGAGAGCACCAAATGATAGAGTATATCTAGAGAGAAGTGAGAGCTAGAGAGAGAAGTGCAATAATATGCTTCAATAGAATGATTTCGTCCCCCCTATAACTACTCCCAAGGGGAGTATTTATAGAGAAAATTAGGGTTGGGCTCCCAAGCCTTGGGCTTGGGAGGCCCATTTACAACTGGACCGCTACTGGGCCGAATACAAAGCCTCTAATGGGCTGTACAAATGAGTAAGTATAGAATCCGATTCTGGGAGGTCTTCGTGGCCGACGAGGGCGTGGCCGACGAGGGCACGGCCGACGAGGGCACCCGGGTTCCTTGGACTCAGGACCATAATCCGGGTTGGCTCCTTTTCGGCCGACGGGGGCGCCTTGGCCGACGAGGGCGCCACTCTGTTGTCTTGTGCTCTGTTCTTCCGAGTATGTGGGTCCCGGGGCTCAGACCCATATACTCCATCATGGTACTATTTACTTTAATAGTTTTATAATTCTAATCTTTATAACTAATTAATTGCCCTTTTTATTATTTCGACTCATCAAAAGAATCAACGTTCACCATAATCAACTTTATGTTACAATATCGAGAGTAGAAAATCGTAATCATTTAAGGCGCGTTTGAAATGTGTAGATTGCAGAAACCTTAATGCAATATCTATTTAATGTTCTTTTTAACCGAGACCTATTTATTCCTTCTTATTTCAAAACATGCCCTCTGCCCATTAAAAGTCATAACAATCTTTTCCTTAATTTGTTAGTGTATACTCTTTGCATTCTCTTACATACGATAGTATTAACTAATAATGTTAATTATTAATAAAGTTTTTATCATAAATAGGACTAAAACATGGTTAAAACTCCAAAGTAGGACTACAAGTTTTATATTTCACAAACAGGACTCGAGATTACCTTATTACCCTTCTTCTAAAAATAATCAATCGACTCTCCATCAACCGCCAGACTTCTCCCCTGCAGCTTTCCCTTTGGCCGATCGCAGCTTCGATCTCCATCGTCAATGACTTTATCAGCAGTCATCGTAGTCATCTGCTCTCTGCTCTCCCAGGTACTCTTCTTCCTTTTCTTCCTCCTCTTCTTCTTTTTCTTCTTCTAATTATTCTTCATTTTCTTCTTGTAGCCTTGTTCCTAATTCTCTGCTTTCTTTTTTTAAAAAATTTTTATCAATCAAATTTGAAAAAATATTGCATGAATGTGAAAGTTTCCAATGAAGATATACTTACCTAGAATTTCTTCTTATCAATTTTGATATATTTCAATCTCAAAATGCCCTGAGTAATGATTCTGAAGACTGTGTCACTTTTTAATCAAGAATGTCATATTTATTGGTTATTTTTTAAAAAATGACACTTTTATGTCATTCAAGTCTGTGCAGCCTCCGATGAGAATGCCACTTGATATGAATGAACGACAAGATAATGACATTATCTTATTAACATATGTCATTTTCAGATTGTCATCCTGATAAATGTACTGCTACAAACATGACAGTTTTTTCAAATACTAGTAATACTTTTGACATTCCCAAACTATAAAAGTGACATTTTGCTTATGAAGTAAAATTCAAATCAAAAAAATCCAAATTAGTGAATAAAATTCAAATCCAAAGAAGAAAAAGAAGAAGAGAATAGGGGACCAGAAAATTGAAGAGGATTAGAAGATGATGAAGAAGAAGAAACAAAAATAAGAAGACCATAAATTTGAAGAAGAAGAGGAGGAGGAAGAGGAAGAAATAGAGGACTTACCTGCTGGTTGCCTATGCGATGGGAGGCCAGAGTCGATGACGAGCTCAGATCCATGAGAGGAAGAGATGTTTGCGATGAATTGCATAAGATGGCAACGATTGCGCAATGTTACGGCACCGGAGACTATTTCCGTCCAAATGCAAATATTTACTCCTATTTAGAGAATTTAAAACAATCAGTCCTAGTTTTGCAATTACCTCTTGTTTTACTTCCATTTTGACAATTTTCTCTTATTAATATCATACGTAGTATAATTATTATTTATTTATATCCCATGCATCGCACGGGTGAGAATCTAGTTGCTGACAATAAGCTAACATAATCAGTCAACCAAAACAGCTAACACAACCAGTTATTGTCAATCAACTTTCGTAACTAGCTAACAGCTAACAGCCAATAGCCGATTGACAAACATGGCCATAATAGAAACCATAAATTCATTAATTAAAGTGAAAAATGACAAAAAATTGGATAAATAGAAAAAAAAATGACAAAGGTATAAAAGATGGCAAATTCATTGCCACCTTTGTATAGGTTGTTAATGAATTGTATTTCAAACGCAAATAAAGATATAGAGCCCGTTTGGTGACCCCCTTTTTCAACTTATCAGGCTTATCAGCTAACTTTTTCATCAAACACATATTTTTTTGTTTCGCGAGCTAAATTATGTAATAAGCAGAAAAAGTAAGGTTGAAATTACTTTTCTGGCTTTATTGGTTGAAGTTACTCTAGAGATCATTTTAGCTATTTTTTCATAAAATTTTTTATTTTATTTTATTTATTTTTTTTAACAAATTTTTTGAATATAATTCTTTTATGAATAAACAGAGAATCAGCCAATATAACAACTTCAGCCAGAACTTCATAAATTTAATCAGAATCAACCAATTCAACTAATTTTAATTTTATCCTTAGCTAAGCCACCCATAATCAATACATCTCATGCTTTTTTAGCCGAGAAACCGCCGGGGCTCAAACCAACGCCTTGACTATAGACGTTTATCTGCACTGCACACAACAAGAATAGGCAGGCGAATCCATTCCATTCACACAAAGAATCTAACTTTATCATTAATCAATTCAATGTGGCTTGGTTTCTTGAAGCGGGGTAAATGGTGCTGCTGATAACTCCGTGAATGGGGTGGTTCTTTCCATTCAACCTTAAAGAACACGGAGACTCTACTATCTCTTCATTATCAGGTTTCTTTTCTTTCTTCTATTGTTTTTTGCTCGGGGATTTGTTTTCGTTTTAAGCAAACCCTCATTTATTTATTTTAGCAAAACTATGTGCGGAATCATATATTTCACAATTCTGATCAATGTATCACAACTCTTGTGTAGTTGGGCAAACTTGATGAGCTAAATGATGGTATCTGAAAAGCAGCCATCTACTGGTTTATTAGACACCCTAAACATGGAGACAGTTAGGACAATCCTAACCCACCCATACCCTTATCCTCACGAGCATTCACGGCACTTCCTAATCACTGTAGTTGCGGGTTGCCTTTTTTTCATATCATCAGATAATGTGCACACCCTTATTCACAAGTTGGATAGCAATGTCAAATGGTGGTCTATCTATGCTTGTTTGCTTGGATTCTTTTACTTCTTTTCCTCTCCCTTTATTGGGAAAACAATTAAGCCTAATTACTCGAATTTCAGCCGATGGTAAGTTTATATATACCACTTTTGTTTCGAGTGTTTCATTTGATTTTCCTTTTAATGGAAGTTGCTAATGGCATGTTTTTCACTTTGTTGTTGTAGGTATATTGTTTGGATATTTCTTGCTGCACTTTATCACCTTCCTAGTTTTCAGTCAATGGGGTTAGATCTTAGGATGAACCTCTCTTTGTTTTTGACAATTTACGTCTCATCCATCTGCTTCCTCCTTGTTTTCCATGTTATATTTCTTGGGCTCGGTCATCTCGGCCTTGTGGCTGGTGTTGCTAAAAGGAGGCCTGAAATCCTTGCAATTGTTCAAAACTGCACTGTAAGATTACTTCCTTTGAGGCTATGTTTGGATCTTGCGAAATGCTAGGGAAAGGAAAGAAAATGCTAAGAAATGTCAATTTCTTATGTTTGGATCTATTTCATGAAATTCAACGGAGAGTCAAATGTCATTAATACTTTCAAGTATTTGCATATGCTTGAATTTCTTAGTATATACTACGTATATCTATATAATGCAAATAAGCAGTAAAGTTGAATTGAAACAAATATTGGACTTATATTTATTGAAATTGAACGGATATTTAATATTTCTCCACATTTTCTTTTCTCCCAAATTTATCATGTGTTTTCCTGCCTAGCATTGTCTGTGGTCCAACAATAATAATTGTTCAACGCCCTTAATTACTGTATGGACTTACTTAATTCTGTTGTAGGTTTTAAGTATAGCGTGCTGTGTATTTTATAGTCACTGTGGTAACCTTGCAATTATAAAGCAAAGGACATTTGAGCGGAAAGATTCTAGTTGGTTTTCATTTTGGAACAAGGCAGAGAGAAACACTTGGCTTGCAAAATTTGTCAGGATGAGTGAGTTCAAAGAACAAGTGTGCAAGTTTTGGTTTGCACCTGTTGGCTCAGCTAGTGATTACCCATTCTTATCTAAGTGGGTTATCTATGGAGAGGTATGTTTAATCTCTTATTGACAACTTATAGATTACTACCATATCAATGACATCGAGGATCTTAGAGCATCTGCATTGCAATAATGTGCACGATGCATATATGGCATGAGAGAGATAAACACTAAAAATAAAATTGATGACATTTCTCTCCCTTTCTTTCCACGACTTTATATGTTTTTAGTAAGTTTTTCTCCACAATGTCAAGTACAACATCTAGATGTAGACATTGTGGTTGACATTGATGAGAAAAGGTTACCAAAAACATATAAGACTGGAAAAAAGAGAGAGACAAAATGTCATCAATTTATTTTTTGTCTCTCTCTCATGCCACTTATGCACCGTGCACATTGTTGCATTGGAGATGCTCTTAATTATGTTGATGCTACTATATTTTGTTGTTTTTTAGTTGAGCTGCAGTGGCTCATGTGCAGAGTCATCCGATGAAATTTCACCAATTTATTCATTATGGGCAACTTTTATTGGCCTCTACATTGCTAATTATGTCGTGGAACGTTCATCAGGGTGAGTTGCCTCTTCTTTTTTCAATTTTTTTAATGGCGTTTGCTTCTATTAGGTGAGGATGGCAGCAGGGTTAAAGCATATGGATGCTTGATTCTTATTATGATTGCTATTTTTGCGAGCACCACTGTTTTACCATTTTCTTTCTCCTACTAGTGTAGATAAATTATAGATGTCATATAAATTATCGTCATAGATGTTAGCTACTGACGTTTTTAAAAATCTCCAGATGGGCTCTTTCCCACCCTTTACCACCAAAGGAATTTCAGAAATTGAAGGAAAAGCAGATGAAGCCCGAGTTCTTGGATATGGTCCCTTGGTATTCAGGGTATGCTAAAACAGAATTGCAACTGTCTAAGCATAAGATTGTAGGGATTATTACAAGATTCTTCAATCATGATATAATTGTGAATGTCATTTACAGGACATCTGCTGATTTATTTAAAACAGTGTTTGACCTACTTGTTTCAGTTACTGTGTTTGTGGGACGTTTTGATATGCGTATGTTGCAGGTATGGTTTGTCATCTTGCCACCATTTGTATATTCTTTTACTTTCACTAATAACTTTGGAGTTGTTTGGAACTGAGGTGATAGATCTTCCTAATCTTAATAGGCCGCTATGAGCAGAGTCCAGGATGGAGCGAAACAAGAAGATCTCTTGTATGATCAGTTTAGTGAAAAGGATGATCTTTGGTTTGACTTTATGGCGGATACCGGTGATGGTGGCAATTCATCATACACAGTGGCAAAGCTGCTTGCTCAACCTTCCATCTGTGTCCAAAGTAGTAGTGGCTTTATGCTTACCTTGCCTCGTGGGGATCTTCTTCTCATTGGCGGTGATCTTGCGTAAGCTAATTGTATTCCATGATGATTTTGAGGGTTTTCCTGCAATATTATTAAAATAATACTCATAGACAAAAATGCGACAACTTTTTAATAACTCCAAAAAAGTAACTAGACATGTCACTTTTAATGTGTCACTGCTGTTGGTTTTATTATGCTACTGCAAGTGACACCACTGGTGACACTGCCATCATCACAGACTCTGTCTCACACTCCCACATGTCACTGCTGCCGCCGGCAATGTATATCGTCGATCTTTTACGGCATACTTTGGGGGATATAGAGAACTTGTCATTGGGCTGCGGACTGCGGCCACTTTTTCCAGCAACATTTTAAAAATTTCTGGAAAAAAAATCATCAGTGATCACCGGAAGTGGGGTAGGTGTGGGGCAGTTGGGTAGATGTTGAGAGAGAAATTTTTGAATAGATTTAGAGTTCAAGTTACCTATCACAAAGTCCATATGCTATATTTGTGTCATTTTTTCATGATATTTCACTTGTCAATGACTTCTTAGTTCTTTGTTTTCATATTTGTTTTATTATAGATGAGGCTCAATACATATTGCTTTGGGATAATGGCATTTTTTGTCCTTTAAGTTATCCTTAAAGTGGTGACTCTAGTCCTTATAAATTTACATGTCATATTTTATTTTTCTTTTTAGTATACATTCATATATTAGCTTCTTATCACTATTTTGGACTTTAAAGGAAACAAAAGATGGAAATATCATATTAGTTCACACTGAGTAATGTTTTTCATCAATACAACGTGGTTAAGTTAAAAAAATTGAATTATTAGTGTCATAGTGTGTCATTACAATCGTATGTTAGTATATTAATATTCTTAATAATCAGAGGTTTAATCTATTTCTATCATAAAAGTTTTCTTATAATGAAGGACAAAATCTACTATTTCCCACTTATTGGGTGACCAAAGTACCATCTCTCTATTGCTTTTACAATGTCAATTAATTGGCACTCGTTGTTTCTATTTTTTTTGCAAAGGTATCCTAACCCATCAGCTTTTACATATGAGAGGCGCCTTTTTTGCCCCTTTGAATATGCTCTTCAGCCACCAATGTGGTATAAGAAAGACCATATTGCTGTAAACAAGCCAGAATTACCTTCCGGGGTTTCAGAATTGAAACACTATGAAGGACCTCAGTGTTTTGTTATACCCGGAAATCATGGTTAGTCTATGTGTAATGCTTAGAAGACTCAATACAAGTTACATCACTTTTTTGTATCATTCTAGTTCTATAAAGTAAATCAGATAAGTTGTTAAAGATTTTGTCATAATCGGGTGACTTGGTTTTTCCATAACAGATTGGTTTGATGGGCTTCAGACATTCATGAGGTACATTTGTCATAAAAGTTGGTTGGGTGGGTGGTTTATGCCTCAAAAGAGGAGCTATTTTGCCCTCCAGCTGCCAAAAAGGTGGTGGGTGTTTGGGCTTGACCTCGCTCTCCATTCTGATATTGATGTATACCAATTCAAGTTTTTCTCAGAACTAATAAGGGATAAGGTATCTTTTTTCAGTTCTTCTCTATTGTGATATTTATGTAATACCACTATACCAGTTCAAGTTCTCAAGTTAATGGTATATCTAGCTTTTTCAATTTTATGTTTCCTTTTCATGTGTGCTATCAGGGAATTATATGTGTTTTTGTCTTTTTCGTATCAGCATGAAATGTGACCACCACAGAAATGAACTGTGTTCTTACCTAAGATCTAAGTTTAGAAACATTCTTATCAATTAAATCTCTTTGGTCGAACTAAAAGTTGTTTTTTACTGAAGTGGTTGCCACTGTTTGTGTTTTAAATTAAACTCCATAAATACTAGTAGTATTAAAATAGCACATTTCGTAATTTTAGTTAAAGGGATTAAAATACAAGAAATATATAGAACTATCAACTATGTAAAACCCAGTATACCTTAAACTCGTAAAATGATTAACATGGTAGATTAGTTATACTTTAGTATTTAGATGTTCTCCGGTGACACGGGGCCAAATTGCAATAGTTTAAAAATTCAAAGTATTACATTTTGGCATCGTCACACCATGAGATTGTCTCATAAATATCATATATCTATGTCCATGCACTCCACATGAAGCTATCATGTATCAATGATTCCATGTTATCTTCATTTCAGGTGCTAGAGAATGACAATGTGATCATTATGACTCACGAACCTAACTGGCTTCTTGATTGGTATTGGAGTGATGTGACGGGGAATAATATTTCATACTTAATACGTGACCATTTAAGAGGGAGGTGTAGGCTTAGAATTGCTGGAGACTTGCATCATTATATGAGGCATTCATGTGTCCCATCAGATAGGCAATCAGCTCATGTGCAACATTTAGTTGTTAATGGTTGTGGTGGAGCTTTTCTACATCCCACACACGTCTTTTGTAATTTTGACCAACTATATGGGGCCTCCTATGAGTGTAAAGCTTCTTACCCATCGTTTGAGGACTCAAGCAGGGTAGGGAGTCTGAATCTTCTTTTTGCTCAACTATCATTTGGCCTATTCACTTATTTGTTCTTTCTTAATTAACATGCATTTTTATACTTATATAAATGCCAGATTGCATTAGGAAACATATTGAAGTTCCGAAAGAAGAATTGGCAATTTGATATTATTGGCGGTGTGATTTACTTCGTATTAGCCTTCTCTATGTTCCCTCAGGTATCTTTAACTTGTGGGCATTTTATACGTAAATGTCTTGTTAAATTTGCTGTGTGTCATGATTAAAAAGATATGCTTAAATGATTTTAAACATGAGGTAAAAAGTAGAACTATTAATGGGAAGTTTATTAAGTTATCTGGAAAGCTACTCCAAGAAGCTTATTAAATACTTTCATGCTTATCGAATAAACTTCCCAACCAAACAAAGCTTATTAATCAAGGTTCAAGCTTTCAGAAGTTATGAATGGTCACTTACTTATACCCCTAAAACATATTTCCAAGACTGTTTGGAGTAACTAGCATAATGTGGAATTTTACTTAGAAATGAAAGTCTACTTTTAAACCTGGACTCCTTTTATGGGACAAAAGATGTTCTTGAAATGCGATTCTTTTTTTGGGATGGAGGGAATAATAGACAACTTATAAGCTAGCTAGCTTATGGCATTCTAGAATGGTCAGCATCTTCATTGATTGTTTATTCATTTCCATATGTACTCTGCAGTGCACTCTTACATTTGTGGAATAACCCTCTATGATTTTCTTTTATTACACCGTGTGGTAGTTTACTTGTGTTTTAAATTGTAATATAGTGCCATCTAGACCACCTGTTAAAGGATGATACCTTTTCTGGTCACTTGAGAAGCTTCTTTAGTACAGTGTGGGATTCCTTCACGTATCTGTTTGGTCACTCGTATGTATCTTCTGCCGGTGCTATGTTACTGTTAGTTGCAACAGTGTGTTTTGTGCCATCAAAGGTTTCCCGTAAGAAGAGACTCATGATTGGGATTCTTCATGTGTCCGTACATTTGGCAGCTGCCTTGATCCTCACAATCTTGTTGGAACTTGGTGTTGAGACATGTATTAGGCATAATCTACTTGGTACCTCGGGTGAGTGAGATTCTTCTATCTTTTGTGTGTTGCATACACTAAAATTTTCACACCATAAATAAATATCCTTTTACCCCAGGGGGAGGGAGGGCTGGGGGAGCCTGGGAAAATAGGGCTGAAACTACTTCCATGGAGTTTTAAACCCAGGACCTCCCATATGGAATAGTTAGTCGGCGATCACTTCCTCCCATAGATAAATAAATATAATGGCTTTTGATATTTATCGATTTTCTTATGTTTATCCTCTCACTTGTACTACGTATTTAATACTCCCTCCTGCAAAAGTAGAGCTTTTATTTTGCTTATGATAAAACTCTTAAAACTCGTGAAATCCCGCTTATATTTCTAATATCTGTTTTTTGGATTAATTATACTACATATTTAAGATATTGAACACATTTGAAGCTGTTTAGAAAGGTGCATGATATATTAGATCTGTTTTATGAAATCAGACTTTTCTTTAGAGAGAATAAAGTTTTTGAAACATGATATTCTTTTGGAGGGACTATATGTATTACATTGACTGCCCATTCTTGTTAGTCAGACGTCAGGAGAAGACATCTCTATTTGTCTTCATCCCTCTAAGGCTCACTTTGGATTTTGAGGGTTGTCCGACTGTTGCTGAGCAGTTTTAGGGTTCATAGGGCTGAGTGATTGAGTCCATATCTAGAGATATATAATTGAGATTTTATAAGAAATGAAAGAATAAAATTTATCTCAGTTACCCTTTTCTTATCATCTCAGTCACCATTTATTTCAGAAACATCCTACATAATACTCCCTCCGTCCCGGAAAATTCTTCCCGGTTAGTTTGGATCAGAGTTTAAGGAAATGGAAATATATGGTTGTGCTTGAGTAAGAAAAAGGTAAATGAATGTTAGCCACACAATACTTTCCAAAAAGGGAAATGGGAAGAATTTTTTGGGACATCCAAAAAAGTAAGTGGGAAGAACTTTCAGGGACGGAGGGAGTATTAATTAAGATATAGACTAAAGTCTTCCCCTCCGAAACCTTACAAAAACCTTCATCCAAACTGACCCTCAGAAAACTGCAGAGGTTTCCTATGGTGATCTACTGAGCAGCAGTACTATTTACTACCATGTGTTTTATCTGTCTATTTATTCGTATGTATGGTGGTTTGACATGAGAACTGCTAAATATAGATTTTTATATTGCTATAGGTTATCATACTCTATATGAATGGTATCGATCAGCCGAGAGTGAGCATTTTCCAGACCCTACTGGCCTTAAAGAACGTATAGAACGATGGACGTTTGGCCTTTATCCAGCCTGCATCAAGTATCTCATGTCAGCTTTTGATGTGCCCGAGGCAAGAATCTAACATTCCTTCCTTTTAAGGTTTATTATTTCCACGTAATAATAAATAAACCTTTCTTGGGCATGATGATGTTTGCATCTTTTTCTTGGGGGGTCAGGTAATGGCAGTGACCAGGAATAACATATGCAAGAACGGGATGAAATCACTCTCCCGTGGGGTTGCTGTAATTTATTATGCATCTGTGTTTCTTTATTTCTGGGTTTTCTCAACTCCGGTGGTTTCTTTGGTGTTTGGGAGCTACCTTTACATCTGTATCAATTGGCTTCACTTGCACTTTGATGAGGCCTTCTCATCACTCCGCATTGCTAACTACAAATCGTTCACAAGATTTCACATTAACAGCAATGGCGATCTTGAAGTCTTCACACTTGCTGTTGATAAGGTAAAAGCAAAGCTCTAGCTCTTGCAAATTCCCGAGGCTCGGATTGTTCCTCGAAATAATTCATTTTGAAACAATAATCCTGGTTAAACAAGTTGTTCTTTTTATAATATAATGTTTGGCCTACAATAATCGAAAACATAAACAGTCACAAATATAGTTTCCTGCTTTCAAAGCGTGGATTCATTATCCACAGAAATGTAGAGATACGTAACACGGCAAATACTAGGGAAATAAAGCATGAAGCACAACGTAGAAGATCATTGGTCGGAATGAAAATTTTGGGAGGATAAAAATAGTCATTCAAACTCATACCTTTCCTTTAGATATTTTTCAAACTCATATTTTCTTTTTATTCTACGGCGTATTATATAGAGACAAGAATTTTTATGAGGAAACCGAACATAACAGAATAACTTTCTTTAAAATTTATTTCCCCCCCTGTCATTTCCTTGGATACAAACATACCCTACAGAATCAGGGAAATTACTTTCCAGAGCCAAATACCAAACCAGAAAACATGTTTCTATATAATCTAAAGGAGTCTTACTTAAATACAGATACTTCTATCTACCCTTTAATGAGTGACCAAATTAAAATGTGTTTACTAAACAATAATATTATACATCAGGTTCCAAAAGAGTGGAAGGTTGACCCTTGCTGGGGGGATTCAGAGCAAAAACAGCCACAGCAGAGTGGTTTCTTGCCGAAGTTCCCCAGCAAATGGAGAGCGGCTTCGCTAAAACAGGACCCTGTAAATACAGTAAGGATTGTTGATCACTTTGTGATTGAGCAAACGGGGAAGTCAGATTCTTCTGGATTGATTAATGGATCAATTGATCCATGAGATTTGTGGTTTCAGCTACTAGGTGATTTAGGATATTTTGTTTGTGAGAATAGATCAGATCTTTTGTTCCTTTGGGCCTGGTTACACTGTTGTACATAATTAGTTGATTAAAATACTTTTATTGATGAGTCATCTGGTCAGAAATGTTGGATGAAATTAAATAATCAATTGAAAGTTACTTTGATTGATTATGATTTCATCCTATGTTTACTTTGAGCGGTATACTTAAATTACTGTTTGCACTCAGTCCAGGGTACAAATGTCTAAGAAAAACACGAATCACTTGTAACTTTGTAAGCGTTTCTTTTAATTTATTCCAATTACATGGTTAAGTATTTACATTGATATCATTGCCCGATTCATGTTAACCGACCTCAATATCTTTTTGAGATTAAGGCTTGGATGTTGTTGTTTGTACATGGTAAAGTAATAATAAGTACTTTGTTTGTTTGTTTGTTTGTTTGTTTGATTGATCGATATCAATTGAATTATACTTCGTATTATGTAAAAATGATATATAATTGTGGGATTAACTAAAAGGGGTTTTGACTTAAATATTACTAATAAATGGACAATAGACAAAAAAGTGATTTTTTTTAATTTAAAAAAATTGTGACTAATAAGTAATAACTAAAAAGTGATATCATCATCATCATTACCCCAGTACCGCAAAGGCTCCCACCTATGGTGGGGTAAGGGGGGTCGGATGTTTGTAGTCTTACCCCTGTACTAAAGCACAGAGAGACTGTTTTCGAATGACCCATAGTGAAAATCGCGTCGAAAAATACATGGGCCGATTGTTGCTTCACAATAAAGAAGTGCAAACAGTTTAGTGAGCCACTTTGCTTTATTCCATCACATTCACAAGCCAAAAAATAGTGACTAATAAGTGATAAGCTTACTAATTTATCGCAGTACTATAGTGACACACTACAATGACATCCACCACCACCTCCGGCTGAAGACCGTCACCGGTCACATCGACATCGCCCACAGTTGTTTGGCCACAGTGACACGCTATACTGATGCCGCTACAGTGATTCTACGACTGTCTAATGACACTCAATTTTCCAGTGACACCGCTTGTCTAGGGGTGGACCGGTTCCGGTTCGGGCCCGGCCGGGCTTCGGTTCATGAAGGCAGAGGCCCGGAACCGGCCCGGGTAACCCCGGGTCCGGTCCGGGCCGGACCTCGGTTCTTGTATTTTTTTTGGCTTTTTCTAATTAACCCCCAACCCTCTCCCCTCACCCCCAAACCACCCCAAACCACCTCAAATGACCCATCATACCCAGCCCAACCCAAAAATTTAAAAAAAATTCAAAAAATTCAAAAAAAAAATAAAAATAAATTGGCCCGGCCCGGGCCCGAACTGACCGGGCTGGTTCACGATTTAGGAGACCCGGCCCCGGCCCGCCTACCTCACCGGGCCGGGTGGCCCGAACCGGGCACCAACCGGTTCACTGGGCCGGTCCGGGCCCGCACAGTAGCGGCCGGTCCGGTTTCGGGCCGGTTGGCCCGGCCCGAGTCCACTCCTACGCTTGTCGGAAGTGACTCTGGCCTCCGCCACCTCATCAATGTCCCTATTCAACCTCCAATTCCCCTCCCAGGCTCCGTGACAATCCTCACTAGCCTTTACTGCCATAGCTATTGGCCCATAGCCCCGTCGCAATCCCGATTACCCACCCTAGCCGACTCGACTCTCCAACCTAAGAACCAAATCCTAGCCGCCCTAGGCAGACATTGTAGGCATTGCAATCCTGACCAGCTTAGCCCTAGCCAGAACCATAGATTTTAAGCCAAGTACAAAAGCAAGTATAAAGAAGGTCAAGGGACTGTCCGAAATGGAGGAGAAATATACCAAGTATAAAAAAGAGACAATGCAAGTACATACAGTTTCATGCGGTCAAAATTTCAAATATTGATTTAACAATATTAATATTTCATGCAAGAATAATCCGAAAATCATGGTGCTATAAATTTTTCGAACACATAATAATATTACTTACTTTTCAAAAGCAATTCATCGATAATCACTAGACAAGTACAAAGAAGGTAAAAGTATATACACTTTCATGCCATCAATATTTCGACATAATGATTAAAATATTACTCTCTCCGTCCCGCTAAGATTGTTCCATTTTACCTTTTTGAGAAATCTCACTAATATTGTCTCATACCATATTTGATAAAATTTGTGTGGCTGTTAATCATCCTTACTTTATTCTTACTTTATCAATTCAATATCAACCACATAAACCCACTTTTCTTAATAATCGTGCCACCTTCTTCCGTCCCAATGTTAGTGGGACAGAGGTAGTAATATTTAATGCAAGTATAATCCGAATATCATTTAATTATAATTTTTTCGAACTCTAATTAATATTACTTAGTTTTCAAAAAAAGTTCGTATACTCATTTTTCAAGTATGTAAAATAATACGGAGTACTACATTTATAATAGTTAATATTAAAAACCTTAAACAACAAACAATTTAATAATACATGACATGGAAAAAGAGCGGAGAAGATGGCCGCAGTAGTCTGAAGAGGCGTCGGCGACAGGGATGGATTTAAGGGGGCGCGGAGTGCGACCGCCCCCCTTGGATTTTCAAAATTTTCTACTATATATGTAATGTTTTTGTAAAATTTTGATACTTTAATTAGATTCGCCCCCTTAATTTTTTTGTTGAACATTGTCCCCTTAACTTTTAGTTTTTAAAATTGATATAGTCTTACATAATGTAATACTTAATCGGAGATTTAAAAAAGGAACATCTAAAATAATTTACATAACTTAAATAAACAATAGAAGAACTCATTATTTGAGATTTAGGATACTTATTATATAAAAATTCTTAGTTTTGTAATGTTTAATTATCTTTATTCGATAACTAGTAAACAATTTTGAAAAAATATATCAAACGATATTAAATACCAGACAATCTAGCTACAAAGTTTTTAGATCATGTGAAGTAATCCAAATTATAAATGTTTATTGACATTGAATTACACTATTCATTTACTTCTTACATTCTAAAAAGACTTTATTGCATAGATAATAAACTTTAATTATTTTAGCATTAATACAAATATAATATGCAATATATATATGAATTATCAATATAATTTTATTCTAAAAATAATAATATCATACATACTATTGTAATATTAAAAGAACTGCTTGTGACTTATGAACACTCTCAATGATAGACAAAAATTGTAATTCAAAAATCAATTCTTTATTTCTATAAGACTCATGTAGTTAAACAATGTTGAAATTATTTTAAAAGTACTCGTGAATGTGAACCTTATAAACTCTTTATATTTAAATAAAATGTTATATATCCTTTTTTATTTTTGTATTATTTTCCATTGATTTGTCATTTCTTATGCTTTAATGTATCAATACTTTTTTCTAGAACACTCCAATTATAAAATTAAAGTTATTTTGTCATTGTCTAAACTTAGAATGTAATATATAGATTTAAATGTCGTCACGTATGTATTAATGAATTTTTTTTGAATAAAAATAGCCGCAGAGCCTTACACTAGTGAAAAAATTCGCCCCGCTACACTAGAAAAAAAAATCACCCCGCTACACTAATGAATTTTTTATCTCCTACACTAACGAAAACTTTCGCCCCCCACTCGAAATCCTGGATCCGTCCCTGGTCGGCGACAGCTTGAAACACAACAAGCTTCATAGGTGGTGGCCGGAGTAGAGACCCAGAGGGCTACGGAGAACATGGTGGCCAAAGTTGAGAGGCGGAGGGCTCTGGAGTACGTACGTCGTGGCCGGAGTAGAGAGGCGGAGGGCTACAGGGCGGTAAAAGAAGGGGGAGGCAGAGCAATGGGCTAAGATTTCAGTAAATTGCGCTAAGGACAGTTTATATAAGTTCGCCGTTGGCTCGGATTCGCGACGTAATGCGCGGTGCCAAAGTGTTTCTAGACTTTTCGAGTTCTACGTTCGGTGTTGGCTCCGCTTTGGTTCTGAAATTTCCGTTCCGATGTTGGCTAGGATTTGGCTGGGAAAAGGCCCGGCCAAGCGCATAGACATCAACGGGAGGGTTTTCGCTAGGATTTGAGATGGAAAAAGCCCAACCAACATGTAAAAAAATAATCGGGTCTCATCGTAGGCTCGAAAGTTGCCCAGCCAAATCCCTGCCAAACCCTACGACTATTACTATATATGTCGGTTTGGTAATAAAAGGATCAATTACAAAGTGTTAAACTTAAAACAGATTTATTGTGGAAAAACCAGAAGGTTCAGATGATAAAAAAACGTGTGACTTTGATTTGTTAGGAAAACAAATTGATAATTTAAGAGAAATGCTTAAATATATGAAGTCTGCTGATGATGATGCTGCCGAATGAAATAAAAAGCTACTGAAAAAAGGAAATGAAGTGCACACTAAAAGTGAAGTAGATCATGGTAGCAAGCAACTTTTGAAAATATGTATTTTTATTATCATGTATCGTGTATTCTTATTATCATGTATCATTTGAGTTTTCAGTCATTTTAGTCTGTGTTTGACCAATATTAATGTAATAAAATCGATGGTTTTGACATAATATATCCCAACATGCGGTAATTTGATTTCAATCACGTAAATATCCCTTTATCCTGAATATATAAAATAATTGTCTTATTTTAGTTTGTACAATTACCAATGAAGTTGTTTAAAAAGTAAACTAAAAACTGTGATTGAGTTATGAATATAAAAAGATAAAATGGTACAAACAATATATTTTTGGCAAATAAAAAGGTGCAAGACAATTACTTCAAAACAACACTAAAAATAAAATAGTGATTAGGGGCCAGGAGAATTTAGTAAAAGAGGCTGTGGATACACTTCTTGATAATGGAATCCGCGGGAGATACAATTACTTCAACCATTACCTAGTTAAATAGAGAAACTTTAGGGTGATTTCTCATATTATTACGGGATTCCTACGGTGGGGTAAGGGGGGGGTCGGATGTACGCAGTCTTACCCCTATACTAAAGCACAGAGAGACTGTTTCCGGATGAGTGTCCAAAATACGGGAGTTTTTTTAGGTTTTCTGAAAAAACGGGAACATGTTAGCGTAATCCGAAAAGTTAAGCTACAAAACAGATTTTAGGAATCCGAATGTTATTTACGTGAGTTGAGTAGGTGGGATAATAATATGGAGTAAGAGCATTATTTTGTACTCTATATTTTAAAAACGTACAAATAATTCAATATACATTTGTGAGTGGGATAGATAAAAGTGTTTTTGACGAAGTGTTTTGATTGAGATAATACGTACAAAAATCAATAAATTTAGTGATATTTGTAATTGGAAAGATGTGTATTATTTTATTAAGTAAAAACTAATCAACTGTTAGGTTAGTGATTGTATTAGTGAGTATACATATTTAATTATATTGTATTATGAAGTTATTCAATGTTCCCGCAAAAATATAAAATATAA